GGCAGTACCGGACTAAGGGGCAGTACCGGACTAAGGGGCAGTACCAGGCTGAATGGCGAATCCTGGCTGGTCGGCTCTGGCGGATCCCGGCTGGACGGCTCTGGCGGATCCCGGCTGGACGGCTCTGGCGGATCCCGGCTGGACGGCTCTGGCGGATCCCGGCTGGACGGCTCTGGCGGATCCCGGCTGGACGGCTCTGGCGGATCCCGGCTGGACGGCTCTGGCGGATCCCGGCTGGACGGCTCTGGCGGATCCCGGCTGGACGGCTCTGGCGGATCCCGGCTGGACGGCTCTGGCGGATCCCGGCTGGCGGAAGGCTCTGGCTGATCCTGTCTGCCGGAAGGCTCTGGCTGATCCTGTCTGGCGGAAGGCTCTGGCTGCTCCTGTCTGGCGGAGAGCTCTAGCGGCTCCGGTCTGGCGGACGGCTCTGTAGGCTCATGGCAGACGGGCGGCTTTGCAGGCTCATGGCAGACGGGCAGCTCCTGCGGCGCTTGGCAGACGGACAGTTCAGACGGCGTTGGGCAGACGGGCAGTTCAGGCGCCGTTGGGCAGACGGGCAGTTCAGACGGCGTTGGGCAGACGGGCAGTTCAGACGGCGTTGGGCAGACGGACAGTTCAGGCCCCGTTGGGCAGACGGCAGACTCTGGCCGTCTGAGGCGCATCGTAGGCCTGGTGCGTGGTGCCGGAACTGGTGGTCCCGGGCTGAGGACACGCATCTCAGGGCTAGTGCGGGGAGCAGCAACAGGACGCACAGGACTCTGGGAACACACAGGAGGCTCGGTGCGTGGTGTAGGCACTGGTGGTACTGGGCTGGAGCGGGGAGGTGGCGCCGGAAATACCGGACCGTGCAGGCGTACTGGCTCCCTTGAGCACTGAGCCTGCCCAACCCTACCTGGTTGTATGCTCCCCGTCGCCCGACCAGTACGGGAAGGAGGAATAACCCGCACCGGGCTATGTGGGCGAACCGGGGAAACCATACGTAGGGCTGGTGCCATGTAAGCCGGCCCGAGGAGACGCATTGGTGGCCTGCTGCGTGGGGCCGGCCTCATGACATCCGGCTCAACACTCAATCTAGCCCGGCCGATACGAGGAGCTGGAATGTACCGCACCGGGCTATGCCTGCGTACAGGAGACACCATGCGCTCTACTGCGTAACATGGTGTCTGCCCGTACTCCCGCTCTCCACGGTCAGTCCAGGGAGTAGGCGCAGGTCTCCTACCTGCCTTCGCCACACTCCCTTTTAGCCCCCCCCCAAGAAATTTTTGGGGAGTAACCACGGGCTTCCAGCCTCGACTCCGCGCTGCCTCCTCATACCACCTCCTCTCGGCTGCAGCTGCCTCCAGCTCTTCACGAGGGCGGTGGTACTCCTCTGGTTGTGCCCAAGGACCCTTTCCAGCCCGTATCTCCTCCCATGTCCAAAAGTCCTTAGGAGGCTCCCATAAATCCTGCGTAGGTAGGTCCTGTTGCCGCTTGTTACGCCGCTTGGTCCTCTTGTGGTGGGTTTTTCTGTCACGATCGCCAATAAAGTAGGACCAAAGCGCAGCGTTGGGAGTGAACATGACTTTAATGTGGAAATAACGACAAAACAAAACACGATCCGTAACGTCCTCAGTACACCGACTGAACATAGAACAAAAACCCACAAACACAAGGTGAAAACACACACTTTAAATATGGCTCCCAATCAGAGATAACGAGCCGACAGCTGACACTCGTTACCTCCGATTGGGAGTCACAAGACCAATTACCCCAAAAACACAAACAAATGAAACGCACCCATACCCAACACCACCAAATGAAATACACCCTGACTCTAACTACACAGTCCCAGAGCCAGAGTGTGACACAACGCCTCTTCACTCAATGTGGGACAGATATCAGACAACCTATGACCACGAAACACGAGCCACGGTCTCAAGTTCAGACTATTTAAAAAGGAACTGCTTAAAGGCTGTAGTACTGTATGGCCTAAACCTGAATCTGTGGAGGACATGGGCCTCTCAGACTCTTCTTTCAAGGACATTCTCAGTATCTGGCAACCCGGGCCAAAAAAATAGTTGTTCAAACAGGTCTCCCATAGGGAGACATTGTATTTCCCACTTATAGTAAAATCCCCATAGCTGTTCCAGTTGACAGGCAGGGTCCGCTTACAGGCCGGTTGCCAGATTGTGATGTCACAAATGCAGCTAAAAGGAGACCTCAGTGGAGTCCATTCAGGAACGCCCCTGGTTGCCATGTAATGGACTCTGTAATGGAGTTCTCTCTCCTGGAGCTGGTTGAGCACTTAGTATTGTAGCCGACTAGCTGTAGCCCTTTTAAGATGGTTGCAGGAGATTTTATATTATATTAAAGTATAGTATTATAGAAAGCAAACTATGCACAAAACGTGTTTTTGGTATCATTATAAAAAGTAGAATGTTGATTTGATCTGTTCCACGGGTATATAAATACATGATGAAGTAATAATGGTCCACCATTTGCATCAGTGCTTTGCATGGAGCACAAATAGTCAAGGGTTTATTGGATTATAGTGGAGGACTAGGTGATGCATCTGGAAATGGGGAAAGCTGGTGGAGTAAGTTGAGTTTTTAAGTACGTGAAAGAATAGATTTTCTGTAGAGCCGATGAGGATAAAAAATATTAGGGATTCATCACTTATCAAGGATTCATCACTTATCAGCAACACACCTTTTGTAAATGTTGAGAAACACAAAATCCACACTCACCCAATACACACAGGAACAAAAAAATACTGTACATGTACACACATATACACACACTTTGGAGTGTGTAACTCTTTCTGACAATGATTAACAGGATTCATGGGAATGAGCTGGACACTGGACAGAAGGGCTCCAAGACGAGTTTTCCTTTTTCAGAGTCTGAACCATCCCAGTGAGGGGGCGGGAAGAGGGCAGGAGGGACGGTGGGGTTAGCGTTGTGCGTTTCCTGTGTCGCAGTTTACTGTTTTTTAGAGCAAGAAAAATGGGCTTATGTAAGAGTCATGTGATTTAGACAGAAATAGTGGCAGGACTGGAGGGAGCTACAGCTGCTGCCTCTCCTCTCCTCTCCTCTCCTCTCCTCTCCTCTCCTCTCCTCTCCTCTCCTCTCCTCTCCTCTCCTTTCCTTCCTCTCCTCTCCTCTCCTCTTCTCTCCTCCCTTCTCTCCTCTCCTCCCTTCTCTCCTCCCTTCTCTCCTCCCTCCTCTCCTCCCTTCTCTCCTCCCTCCTCTCCTCCCCTCCTCTCCTCTCCTCTCCTCTCCCCTGGCAGAGACCAGACTACACACACACTGTGCAGCTTCACACACACACACACACACTGACTGACGCACAAATGGTATGCTCACACATACTGTACACTGACGCACAGTCATGCATGCATGCACACAGAAGGCCAACACAGCAATACGCTTGTATGCCAACACTCCCACACACACGCTCAGAAACGGGTATGCATGCACGTACGCACGTACAGTAGGCACTCTCACAGAAAAACACACATGCATGTACCAGTGGAGGCTGCTGAGGGGAGAATGGCTCATAATAATGGCTTGAACGGAGCGAATGGAAGCCATGTGTTTGATGTATTCGATCCCATTCCACTGATTCCGCTCCAGCCATTACCACGAGCCCGTCCTCCCCAATTAAGGTCCCACCAACCTCCTGTGGCATGTACGCACACCCCCACATCAAATGAAATGGAATTAACTAATATCACTGTATCCTGTATTCTGCCTGTACTCGCTTGGCCACTTCCTGTGGCTGTGACATACCATAGTGAAGGTTTTCGGGTCATAGTGTGTGTGTGTTTGTGTGTGAGAGAGTCAGTGTGTGTGTATTTCAGTCACTGTGTGTGTGTGTGTGTGTATGTATGTGTGTGTGTGTGTGTTGCGGCCGTGGTGTGGCGCAAGCGCGCTGAGCTGGCGGTCCCTGGCCTAGGGAACGAATGTGTGTGTGGGGGCGTGTGGCATTCTGAGGCTGGCGGACGTGTAGAGAGGAAAAGAAGAACGGGATGAATAGAGGAGAGGAAGAGAGGAGGAGGAGAGGAGACGTACAGTGCTGGTCCAATGGAGCGGAAGCTGCCTCTCTGAAACAGGAGATCATTTGGTTTAGCTGTGGGCTAGGCAGGGAGGCAGAGGGGGATTCTCTGCCTGTTAGCGTCACTGTCAGAGACTGGAGCAGCCCCTAGTCAGAGAGAGAGAGAGAGAGAGAGAGAGAGAGAGAGAGACACACAGAGACACACACGGAGACACACATGGACACGCATACACGCGCTGCGCGCATGTGCAGGCATACATACACACACACACACAGCCGATGCCTCAGCCAACCACACTCTAGTGTTTAGATATAGTACCCATACAGAGACACCATTAGTGACTATTTATAGTTCTAGTGGAATAATCCCATTTGATGTTATGTGCACTCTATTCTAATACCTACGTTTCTATGATGTAGTATTCATATGATGAGACCATACTGGCCAGTTGAGGAAAGCATCAGTATATGTACTGTATATGTCTGTGTGCAAGAATAGCTTAAGGTATCAAGATTTCTTGGTATTTTAGGTTGTTACAGTATATAATGGAAAACCTCCAACGCATTTGAGTATAGATGTAGGATCTTAATTTGAGCCAGTTTGCATCAGCAGGAAAATAATCCTGCAGTAACAGGATATGTCAACGATTATGTTGATTATAATTAATGGACATTTTTGTAGGGGTTGATACATTGTTCGTAAGAGAAAATCAAGTCTGAAATTTCAAAGTGGAAATAACAAACTTCAGAAGCATTTTTAAACCTTAAATAAAACAAGCTTTACATTTTATGTTTTCCTGCAACAGGGTGATCAAATTAAGATCCTACATCTGGAAATTATCCTATTAAAAATACTATGGCTCTCTAACAATGTCCTCCATATGTTTCAGTTTCCTGCTGTCTTGTCTCTCAGCATTTGGCTCACTATTTAACTTCCTGTCTTCCTGTCTGTGTGTGTTAAGGCCAGCACAACTACCTGTGTGCCGGAAGGAACGACTGTATCATCGATAAGATCCGGAGGAAAAACTGTCCGGCCTGTCGAGTACGGAAGTGTCTCCAAGCCGGGATGAATCTCGGAGGTACGGAATCATAAATGCCAGATATCCTAGATCTGCACCTATATCTTAGGGTGCATCTGAAATAACACCCTATTCCCAGGGAATGTGAGCTTTATGGACTAAGGGCTATTATTGCTGAGCGGCCAATCAGATCCCTAGTCTGATCATAGGCAGGTTCAATGGCACGAACCTGTGAAATATGTCGGTGCCCCGACTAGTCGTAGAACCGTAAAAACAACAAAGTTAAGAGCGTTAGTGAGTGGAGTCAAATTGTTGTCGAATCGGTGTTACTTTGAGACTTCCTGTCTCATTACAGAATACACAGCCAACTTCAGTTTGCAGGCCAATATTAACATGTGATACAGAGTTTGGATACTGCCAGGGAACCAAAATAGACTTGCTTATACAGCAAAAAAAAAAAGGTTTTCCTTTTTATCGCCATTGCAATATACAGAACAAATGTTTTCCTTACTGTACTTTGTCAAAGGTGGACAGTCTCCAAATCCTGATTCACTTCCTAACATACTTTCCCTCTGAAAGTTACAACTTCCCTGAAGAGAGGCTGAAAACAGTGCTGTAAGGATATCCTTTCAGAACCTTGACACAGCACTACTACATCTGACAAACAGAAATCAAAGTGCCGATAGAATACTCAAAATGCCACCTAGCTTCCAAAAGTCCAACAATTGCCAAACAAAGTTACGCTCACATATATTTGTAGCTACTTCAGTACCTACATGACATGCTCTCTGTCAACAGAACATGCTGTCTTTTGAAACAACACAATGCAGAAATATCATGATGAGTTCTACTTTAATTGTGATCTTCTTTCCCTCTTCCTCCCTACAGCGCGGAAGTCTAAGAAGCTAGGCAAGCTGAAGGGTGTGAACGAAGACTCGACCCCCACCAAGGAGGGGGGGCAGACGTGCCCTGGGTCTGGAGGTGGAGGGGGGTACTTGTCCTCGGGAGAGAAGGAGCTGAGCACCAGCCCCACTAACACCCTGGTGCCCCACGGCCCTGGAGGTGGGCTGGTGACCCCCTACCTACCCCCCTCCATCTGCAGCGTGTTGGAGCTGATTGAGCCGGAGGTGGTGTTTGCAGGCTATGACAACACCCAGCCTGACACCACCGACCACCTGCTGTCCAGCCTCAACCAGCTGGCTGGGAAACAGATGATCCGCGTGGTCAAGTGGGCCAAAGTACTTCCAGGTTAGAGAAGATACAGTATCTTCCTTTTCTCTAATATCTTTGATGGTTTTGGTGAAGGGGGCCAAAGTACTTCCAGGTTAGAGAGATAACCTGGGGTTTGGAATAATATAGTTAAGAGTGGGTTGTTTCCCTTTTCTCCAATATCTTTGATGGGGTTTGATGGTTTGGGTCAAGCACTTCCAGGTTAGACAGACATGGGGGTTCTGGATGGGCTTGGAGGGTAAGGATGTAAGGAAGAGTGGGTTATCTTCCTTTCCTATAATATCTTTGATGGGGAAATATTAAACAGATAAATGTCTAGAGTCAACTTGATCCTATTCCATTTAAAATGCTTGGGGGCAGAGACGTGGGTAAATCTCTTGAGTGGGCGTATTGGCTGTTAGGAGAAATCACTATCATGTATTTTATACTCGAGGGATATTTTGACATGCTGTGGTATTATTAACATTTGCGCCTTCAGAATATATTCAGCAGTAATTTTCACGATCTCGTTAGGAAATTATTCCGCAATGCTTTAATGAGATTAGCGATAGGATCCAATTTAAAGCCAAAATCTAATCAAGATTTAAGATTTGGAAACAGAGCTCATTTACATTAATCAGCCTTTCCTAAATAATGTAAATCGAACTCGTTTATGCAAAATTGTACTTTAATCAACCATTTGTTTTTTTTAAAGAGGTGAGTATGTTCCCTAAAAACTGTCAGTTGGTGAAATATTTAAAAGATGCCTTATAGGCTTACAGTCGCAGGTACCTCTTTGATGCTGTTTAATTTGCTGTATTGCAAATATTTGATACCTCTTCCAGGGTGTCTGCTTGCCTTATTCGGACGTATAAATAGAAAGACAGACAGACAGGAGGTCGAAACCAGCCCCTCTCTCTCCCCCTTCTCTCTCTCTGAGTCTCTCTCTCTTTCTGACTTTGAACGTTTTGGACTTAGCTCTGCTAATAAAGCTCAGAAGCTCAACTCCAGAAGACTCGCGCTAATAAGGCAGACTGCTTCGCGCTACATGGCTGCTGTAGACTATGAACAAGCCTTGTACTGGACAATACAGTGCCACTATTAAGTGTTACACAGTACACAGGAAGCCTAATCTATGCTGTGAGCAGCGTCCTGTACTGTAGTCATTGTAGATACTATTGACTTGTTGAGTGTCTTCAGCCTTCAAGCACTTTGATGGGCGACCCAAAAGGTAATCTTTTAATAATCATCTTAGACCCAGCTATAGAATCTTCCAGGGAGCACCATTGATGTACAGTAAGCCAGTCATTTAAATCAAGAGCTTTGAGTCCTTTTAAAAAAAGCCACAGGCGCAGCCAGCAATACAACCCACACACTAATTCAACAATGAATTGATACCGTGACACATCGCAGGCTTGGCAGCGGTTGCATTGCTGACGACTGACATGCAAAGCCTGGAATAGTACCTAAGCTCTGATAACTCACTTTCAGTTGCAGCATTCGCGTCCTCGTTGGGAACTATGCATTATAGAATGAGGAAGAGTTTATATGTAATGTACTGTATAGAGAGTTGGAGTGAGAGTTTTGCTGCTAGTCTATTTAAGGGCCAACATAGACAACAGGCCAATAATAAGAAGCCTTGGGGGATTTTGTGTAAAACAACACCGGGTGAATACTCTGCAGTGGTTTGTTCATGTCTGAACAAATATTGGTGCTGCTAGGCACCATGCCATATGAGAGAGAGAGAGAGAGAGAGAGAGAGAGAGAGAGAGAGAGAAGAGAGAGAAGAAGAGAGCGAGAGAAGAGAGAGAGAGAGAGGAGAAATGAGTAAAGACGAATATAGAGCGAGAGACGAGAAGCGAGAGGAGAGATACGCAGAGAATAGCTCTCTAAGGAAGGATATAAGTGGCGAGATCTAAGTCGAGAGAGAAGAGCGGAGAACGGTCGCGTAGAGGAGAGAGCGACGAAGAGGTCGGCTGAATGACTCATTGTAGAGTGTTGACTCGTTCTCTAGGTATTCCATTTGTCCTGTCTACTCAGAATCTACTGAACTAAATGTAAGACTCAGTACTGCTCACCGTTTCCCTTCCCATCAATTCAATAGCCTTCATTAACAGTGGAATTCAGGGACTTTCATTGCCAAATCAAACATGCGGGAACATATCACATCAATAATGATCCTCTCTCTCCCAGGTTTCCGGGGCCTGCCCATAGAGGACCAAATCACCCTTATCCAGTATTCTTGGATGTGTCTGTCCTCCTTCAGTCTCAGCTGGAGGTCCTACAAACACACAAACGGACAGATGCTCTACTTTGCCCCCGACCTCGTCTTCAACGAGTAAGTCTGTCCACCAACGGCCTAATCTCGCACGCCACACTTTACAAATATTCAATATTCAGAGACACACTCATCTGGTTCCATGAGACTACTCCGAGCCATCGCTCCTAGTAGGGGTTTATGTGCTGTGGCAGTAGCACTGTTATAGGACCCTAAAATGGGTATTAACTAAAGATGATGATGGCATGGTTACATTTACATTTTAGTCGTTTAGCAGACGCTCTTATCCAGAGCGACTTACAGTTAGTGAGTGCATACATTTTTCATACTGGCCCCCCTTGGGAATCAAACCCACAACCCTGGCGTTGCAAGCACCATGCTCTACCAACTGAGCTACAAAGGACTATGGTTACAGTTGGTCTACTAGGTTAAGTAAATTACAACAACAAAAAGTTATCTAAAGTTCTGAACAGGTCTATAGTGAAAAACCAGCTCAGTGTCTTCTGACCTGCTCCCAAAAGCAAAGGCTTTTGTACCTGTAAACGGCTCCTCGATCCTGAGAGCACAGTTGATCAGAGTGGAGCGGGGAGTCAATGGTGCGTGTGATCCGCTCTGATATATTTGAACAGGGGAACAAATGGAGGAGGAAATGTATATGGGACAGCTGCTTATTGGAGCTGTGGTGCATTGAAGTGGAGGGTAATGGTATGGGACCTGGACAGGGGCAGGGCAGAGGGAGAATACTGGCCCCTACAGGTGGCTGGGGAAAGTGCACCAAGCCCAGATGGAGTGGAATTGATAGTTGGCTTATTTGATTTTGTAAAATAAGGACTTCAATACAATGTTTCCTGACACACACACAAAAAAAGACAGGCAATACCGAAGTCATTGCAAAGACCAAGTATGTTTGGATACAATGTCATTACATGTCAAATTAAAAAGTTACATTCTATAATTTCACTAATTCTATACATTATCATAAAGTTACCTACAGTAGATTTCTTCCTAAACATGTGCTGCTGATATATATTCTAAGAACTTAGCCCTCTCTGAAACTCCTGGAAAGTGTGTGACGCAGTTACAGTGGGGCAGCCTGTCTGAATGACAGATGGTCCAGGTATTCTGGGTGACAATCCCGATGAGACGTATCCTACACCAACTGGATTTACTGCATGGCCTGGATGTCGGCTGGTTTGTCCGCAGTGCTCTGTCTAGGAAACCTGCATGTCACCCTAGTGTCCCCCCTATCCGCAGTGTGTCAGTGACTGATAACGGTATGAGGCCGAGGTCCCCAGTTAGGAGGAAGGCTATAGCATGTCCCTGTAGAGATCGAGACGTATAGAGAAACTAACCTATCTATCGCTCTATAGAGACGTATAGAGAAACTAACCTGTCTATCGCTCTATAGAGACGTATAGAGTAGAGAAACTAATCTGTCTGTCGGTCTATAGAGACGTATAGAGTAGAGAAACTAATCTGTCTGTCGGTCTATAGAGACGTATAGAGTAGAGAAACTAATCTGTCTGTCGGTCTATAGAGACGTATAGAGTAGAGAAACTAATCTGTCTGTCGGTCTATAGAGACGTATAGAGTAGAGAAACTAATCTGTCTGTCGGTCTATAGAGACGTATAGAGTAGAGAAACTAATCTGTCTGTCGGTCTATAGAGACGTATAGAGTAGAGAAACTAATCTGTCTGTCGGTCTATAGAGACGTATAGAGTAGAGAAACTAATCTGTCTGTCGGTCTATAGAGACGTATAGAGTAGAGAATAGAATCTGTCTATCACTCTATAGAGACAGTGTCTCATCGGGGACAAACATCCTTAACCAAACGCGTAATCAGTCAGGAACACACTTCCAAGACTGAAATCTTGTCTTTCTAATGAGCAACAGAAAAATACACATGCCAATCGGTGTGTTCAGTGGCTCTTTAAACTTAATTTATGCATCAATGTTTGATTATAGCTTACAATAGCTCTATCAAAACAGTTGTTCCAACTTTTGGGCACGTAGTGGGTACATCTAGACCTAAACTGTACTGATTGACAGAGGAGGAGGGTCAAGAAGGTCATGCAAAGTTCCTTCTCAACCCAAGAGGACAGAAGATAACGAGGTATAAACAAGATGTTTGCCAATAATATCCAGTGACCCCAAGAAAAACAACTCACAATACAAACTATTGTATTTTAAGTGGGTTTTATACAGTCATAGTTGTTCTGGGATATTCCCAGAAGTGAAAAGTGAGTCTGACTTTCTCACTTTTTATTTTTAAATTTTTTAAGTCCTCGCTCTTGCTTCCTGAATCTCTCTCCATGGCAACGGTGAGAGCCGGAGAGAGAAAAACCAGGGGCAGTGGGATTCTTCTCATTTTGGGCAATGATTCAGCAAAATTGATTTCAGACAAAATATGTAGAGACTTTTTATACTCAGACCCAAGGTTCTCCAAATAATGAAATGCAGTTTGCAGAACTCCAACACAATGCTACTCCTAAAACACATACATTTTTCATATGTTCATAAGTTAGTCAGATAGACAAAGTCAGACAGACAGAAATACAGTCAGACACTCAGAAAGAGAACGAGAGACACACACTTACTCAGCTAAACCAAACCTCATGCAGCCAGATGTACATCGCATACAGTAAACTAATGAGTATTTTAAACCTGCTTTATGCTTATAATGAGAACATATGCACCCATTCTCCCTTGTTGCTGCAACTCTGCTACAGAATGTTAAAACTGGTTCTATCCACAGTGCAGAATCTCCCTCCTCTCTGTCCTAGTGTTACGATGCGGTTTCTGCAGTAGTATCACATGGTCTGCGTCCCAAATCGCACCCGAAATCGCACCCTACCCCCATAGGGCTCTGGTCAGAAGTAGTGTACTAAATAGGGCATGGTGTGCCATTTGCTATGCAGCCCTATGGTGAACTCCCTTTCAAGTGGAGCCACACCGCTTGCATTTGATTATTCGAGACTAGACAAGATGGGTGATTTAAAGTAGAGAAGGTGGCTTCCAAAACCCATAATTCCCTGGGCTTTGCGGCATCTGCATAACACATAGCACATTGCTCATTGGCTCTCCCTCTCCATCTGACCCAACCTATTCTACTGTTCCTCTGCCCCGTTGTTGTTGGTTGCTGTTTCTGCACTTTGACAGGATTGAGATCAACTTCTCTGATATGGTGTGTGAGTGAGTGTATGTTTAGGAAGGAGTGTGTATGCGACTCCGTTAGTGTGTGTGTGTTTTCATGTACCATGACGGGGGTGATGCAGTAAGTCTTTCCCAGCCTTTAGACAGCGTACTGAAGCAGCTAAGTCATCTGCGTTGTGTTACTGTGTGTGTGCAGTGTTCTGCACTCTAGAGGAATTTGGCTTTCAACTCATCCTATCTCAGCGAGTAGAATAACTATGTGGAAAGATGTTCCAAAGGGTTGAGGCACAGTAGTATGTGTGTGTGTGTGTGTGTGTGTGTAGGGGGGAGGATACAAATATTTTGTATGTTATCGTGTGGTGGATGGTGGGAAATAGGGAAATGTACATGGAGGAGTCACCGTGTTTTGGGGATGTTGGCTATATTTCATGGACATCTGAGATTAGTTTGGCTGGACACAATACAGTAAATGCTATGGCTGCTTACTGAGCCATCCCACTGGGCACAGACGTCAATTCAACGTCTATTCCACGTTGGTTCAACGTAATTTCATCGAACTGACGTGGAAACAACGTTGATTCAACCAGTGTGTTCCCAGTGGGAATGCACTCAAACAGTCATTTTTTAGGTCTAAACTTACAGCACAAACTGACCAGACTTACAACAATGTATAGTGAGAGCAAGAACCAATACGCCTCAGGCACTGACCAACCATCCTTTCTCCCCCCTCTCCTCCAGGGACCGCATGCAGCAGTCAGCCATGTACGACCTGTGTCTGGGCATGAGGCAGGTGAGCCAGGAGTTTGTCAGGCTGCAGCTCACCTACCAAGAGTTCCTCTCCATGAAAGTGCTGCTGCTGCTCAGCACAGGTAAGTCAGGGGAAGGTGTTAAAGGTGTGTGGAGTGAGGAGTGTGAGTTCCTTTGTCAGAAAAAACGTCCAACTCTAAGTGAGTTTGTGCATACTGCAGTGTGTGTGCATGTGAAAAAGAGAGTCTATACGGGGTGTGTGTTTTGCACCAATCAACAGCTAGCTCCAGTGAGGTAGTGTCTATCAGCCAGATGGGGCTCTGGCTCTCATGTGAGTCTACAAGCAGACTGACAGAGTAAATAACAGGTATATCTCTTGTCGTTTGTTTGCCGACCTTGGAGTTGGAACACATACAGGAACCAAGGAATAACAATAATAACATGTCTATGTTAAGCTGGAGTAGTATACATTATAGGTATGCACGGCAAGCTGGATTGGGTGACACTACAGGATTCAATGATTATACTATACCTCTGGCACGCAACCTGTCATGGCACTAATGTGCCGAAGAGAGAGAGCGCGCAATCGAGTGAGAGGTACTTTTTGTAGAGAAAGTACAAGTTAGAGAGAGAAAATAATCTCAGTGTGAGAGAGACATTTACGTCATTTTGCAGACGGTCTTATCCAAAGCGACTTACAGTAGTGAGTGCATACATTTTTGTACTGGTCCCCCGTAGGAATTGAACCCACAACCCTGGGGTTGCAAGTGCCATGCTCTACCAACTGAGCCACACGGGACATAGAGAGAGAAAGAGTGAGCGAGAGAGAGAGAGAGAGCACGGGACAGAGAAAGAGCGAGCGAGAATGAGAGAGTGAGTCACCCTTATTCTTTCACCATATGGCAACTAAGGACAAGGTTCTTGTTGGCATCCAGCAGTAAATGCAGCCAGGGCAGAGCAGTCAGAGCTACAGGAGGGCAAGGCTGCATAGGCCAGCTATGGGAGCTATTTCGGGAGGCCAGGCTTCAGCCCTCTGCTCTGCTTTGAACTGCCGCCGTGCGGATTTGTAGGAATGTTTATTAGACTTGTCAGGCAGGCAGGGCCTCAGTTTGGAGGATGCTGGGTTGTCTCACGGGGAGCCGGAGGGAGCACTACTCTGCTTTCCATGGATTTCTGCCTGATTGATAATGGAAGCCTGGCTAGGAGTGTTGTTAGAGCAAATAGAGCGGAAAATAACTAACTATTAAAGGGATACTTTGTGATTTTGACAATGAAGCCCTTTATCTACTTCCTCAGAGTCAGATGAACTCTTGGATTCCATTTTTATGTCTCTGCTTACAGTACGAAGGAAGTTATTAGAGGTAGTTTCGCGAGCCAACGCTAACTAGCGTTAGCAATTGCCCTAATGCTAGTTAGCAACTTCCTTCAAACTGCACGGAGAGAAAAACATAGTATCCACGAGTTCATCTGGCTTTGGAGAAGTAAATACAGGGCTTCATTGTCAAAATCACAAAGTATCCCTCCACCACCCGGTCCCTCCACCCTGTCCCTCGCAGCACCTCCACCAGTCTCCACCCTCCTTCCACCTGTCCCGTCGGCAGCACTCCACACGTCCCTCCCCTCTCCACCCTGTCCTCATTGTCTCACAAGACCTCCCCCTCCTCCACCCCGTCCCTCCACCCTGTCCCGTCGCAGCACCTCCCCCCGTCCCTCCACCCCGTCCCTCCACCCTGTCCCGTCGCAGCACCTCCCCCCGTCCCTCCACCCCGTCCCTCCACCCTGTCCCATCGCAGCACCTCCCCCCGTCCCTCCACCTCCCTCCCACCCCGTCCCCGCCCTCCCCGTCCCTCCACCCGTCCACCGTCCCATGCACTCCACCCCGTCCCTCCACCCTGTCCCGTCGCAGCACCTCCCCCCGTCCCTCCACCCCGTCCCTCCCCCTCCCCTCCCCCCTCCCATCCCTCCACCCTGTCCATCGCAGCACCTCCACCCCGTCCCTCCACCCCGTCCCTCCACCCCGTCCCGTCGCAGCACCTCCACCCCGTCCCTCCACCCCCGTCCCTCCCCCGTCCCCCTCCACCCTGTCCCGTCGCAACACCTCCACCCCGCCCCTCCCCCCGTCCCTCCCCCCCGTCCCGTCCCGTCGCAGCACCTCCACCCCCAAACTACTTCCCACAGCTATGATATCTTTAATACACAATTACGTTATCGACACCTAATTTAGTTGTATATTGCTTTAACTACCTGCAAGGGGCGGCAGGTATCCTCGAGGTTAGAGCGTTGGGCCAGTAACCAAAAGGTTGCTGGTTTGAATACTGGAGCCGACAAGGTAATAAAAGTAATAATAATCTGTGTGCTTGAGCAAGGCACTTAACCCTGATTGCTCCAGGGGTGCTGTACAATGGCGACCCTGGCCATGACCCCACTCAGGAGTTGGGATATGCACAAAAAAAATGTGTGCCATAACACACTTGTGTAATTTGGATTTTAGTCCCTAAAATCTAAGCATTCCCAAAGGTGAACAGGGCATTGACACTGGCCTGATATAACCGGAGTGTCAGTGAATTCATCTGAAAGCAGGAGTGATGTTGGAGTGGAAGTGGGATGGTGGGGAGAGGATGGACAGAACGAGAGAGGATAGAAAAACAGAGAGAGAGAGAGTAAGATGGAGAGAGAGAGAAACAGCACAGAAAGAACGAGAGAGCTCTCCGGTCCGTCTGTTGTTGCTGCCTCTTCCCTCCTCATCCTCCGGAGCCTCTCCAAAGAGCCCTGCTGTACTTAATAAAGCCCAGTCAAGCACTGGGCAGCGCTCCAAAACCTGCTGTTTTTCTCCTACTTCCTGGCCCAAATGGAGAGAGAGAGAGAGAGAGAGAGAGAGGAGAGAGAGAGAGAGAGAGAGAGAGAGAGAGAGAGAAGACAGAGACAGAGACAGAGACAGAGACAGAGACAGAGACAGAGAGAGAGAGAGAGAGAGAGAGAGAGAGAGAGAGAGAGAGAGAGAGAGAGAGAGAGAGAGAGAGTGTTGAGGGCTGTGCTGAAACTCAGTTTCAGGGCAATCTGACTGATCTAATGTGGCCGTATGAATCTGTTAGAGTTGGGCTTTAGTACTGTCTGTTGGAGATTGCATCCCAGGGCTTCTTGTGGATGATGATATTGAGGTTCTCATTTTAGCGTCTCAATCCTTTTATACTGAAGTGACTATGCATTTTATGTTGTTTACTTTTTAGGTTTCTAAAAGGCTATTTCATCCTCTTTTAAGATTTTTGTTTGTGACTAACAGTGCAATTAGATCTGATGCTTTCGAGGCAGAGACAAAACATTTCCAGCTACCAATTTCCTCCATATTCTTGAGCACAGACTGTCACCAAATAATGAAGAGAGATAATGATAATGTGATGAGTTATTGTGGAAAGGTGTTTACAGAGTTGTTGTATGTGGAGATGTTCTTCGTCTTTGACCTTGGCTAAGGTTTCACTAGCCATGCAGCGTCTCATGAGACCCTGCAGAATGGGTGTGTTGATCTACTAAAGACAGATGAACCCTTCAGCTCCACAGTGATAGTGTATGGAAACATATTATCCTTTAAACTGTCATTTCCTAACAATACTCAGTAATATAACGCCCCCTAATAAATATTGTGGTGGATGATTTGGTCATAAAATGGTTGCTAAACTTGACATGCATTAGCCTCACTCGCTAGGTGGGTGCTACGCTAATGGTGGATAATGTGAGGTACCCCTAAAACAAGTAGAAAAAGCACTATAAATCATTATATAAACCATAATCCATTATTATAATCTGATTTATTTGTCAGAGAGATAATAATAATCTGAGTGTTATTCATTAGGGGGGCTGTTTTCACATTGTTTTATTAAAGGTTTCCGGTGCGACAGGATGCTATATCTTTCTGGATCAAGTTTTATCTAGGAGGGGAACAGTATACAGGCATATTTGTATGGCAGTCTTTATTTAATGAACTACCCATCCATCACCGCCTGGTATGGCAACTGCTCGGCCTCCGACCGCAAGGCACTACAGAGGGTAGTGCGTACGGCCCAGTACATCACTTGGGCCAAGCTTCCTGCCATCCACGACCTCTAAACCAGGCGGTGTCAGAGGAAGGCCCTAAAAATGATCAAAGACTCCAGCCACCCTAGTCATAGACTGTTCTCTCTGCTACCGCATTGCAAGTGGTACCGGAGCGTCAAGTCTAGGTCCAAAAGGCTTCTTAACAGCTTCTACCCCCAAGCCATAAGACTCCTGAACAGCTAATCATGGCTACCCGGACTCATTTGATCTGATTTGATTACCCTGCATTTCCTTTTGTAAACCGGTATATCACGGCTTGAACCAAGGCCAAGACACACTGTCAGTGAGGTATGAGGTGGTAAGACTAAAGCAGGAAGCTGCATGTCTACCATGTCATGTGTGTTTGGATTTTTTCACAATGACACCCAATATAATATATAGCCTATGTACAGAATATACCAGGAGGCAGGAGCAATGCATGTATTTCTGGGTTGTGGAGATAAAAAAAAGACGAGGGTTTCATAGAACATCCTGGGTCATATTCATTAGGGAGCACCGTAGCAAAAGGTTTTGCAATGGAAAATGAAAACAAGTGTCTTATTGGACAAGTTCAGGTGTAGATAGTCCCTCCCTATTTCAGTCCATTTTCTTCCGTTTGGTGCTTATTATTATTTATTAAACCCGGCTGCTTAAAAAATATGGCTTTGCGTGCGTGAGTGTGAAATACGGCCTGGTTGACACATCTGGGTTGGGTACCGGCAAGCTAAAACCCATTCTTTTGACATTAAACCAATTACCGTTGTGTAATTGCCCCACTTTCTGCCGGCCACGCCCCTAAATGACACATACACTTTCTGCTGGCTACGCCCCTAAATGACACATACACTTTCTGCCGGCCCTAAATGCTAAATGCCAACCAGCGCTGAATCAAATGAGGGACTATCTGAGTCAATGGGGCGAAAACAAAGGGCCCAAATGTGGCCCTGGTTTTAGCATGTTCCTGTTAGTAAGGGCCACAAAACAAGCCACGAAACAGAAAGAACAGAATCCCTCTCTCTCTCGCCTTGATGCTTTTCCAGAGCGCTCTCGGTTATTGCCTTGTCATTATTTTGCTCTGGGTCTCTGCTAGGCTCAAGACTAGGTTTGTGTTTGTGTGTGTGTGTGCATCTCTCACTGTGTCCATGTCTCCATGTGTGTGTGTGTTGTTTGTGTGGTTTGTGTGCGTGCATGTGTGCGTCTTCGTCTGTGTGTCGCGCCTGCGTACGTACGACTCTGAGCATTGACATTTGCTGAGCTATTTCCTCCAAGATGCAATGTTAACTGACAGGCTCTGGTCCTGCTCTTGCCTGTGGCTGTGTGTTCTAAGAAACAAAAAGTACTGTCAACTGTATTTTCTCACACGGCTCTCAGCATCAACAGGTGTGTCTTTCTGTCTGCCATGTGTTGGTTTAGGTTAAGCCTTCAAATGCAAATCTTCAAACTAGGCTAATTCAACATGAAATCAAATCAAGTGTATTTGTCATATGTACAGGACACACATGGTGTACACAGTACAATTAAATGTTTACTTGCAGGTGCACCACATTTACTACAGACGGAGTACAGTACAGATGTAGGATCTTAATTTCAGCAGGAAAACATAATCCTGCAGCAACAGGAAATGTGAATTATTATGTGGATTATAATGAATGGACATTGTTGCAGGGCCGGCACCAGAGCGAATCAGTTGGACGGGCATTTGATTTCTAAATTGTGTTAATGGGTGTATTAGTAAAGACCATAGGCAGCTCATGAGTTTCAAGTTTGGGGAAGCTTTATCCTACCATTTCTACTGATCTGCGTGCCAGTTATGGATGAGTTTTATATGCACATTTTTGTGAAACAGTTTAATTTCAATAATAACGTTTTCGGTTTTTCAAAATTATTGGCACGTGGTTAATCATAAAAATCTGAATTAAAGGGATAAAAAAAGTTACAATTCAACTAATGCAAGAGAACCAGCCTTTGTCATATGGACACATTGATACACCGTGATCCATTGGCGGCTAAAGAAATGAGTGCATGGAACTCAGAGATAGCCTATAGGCCAATGCAGCAGTAGGGCTATAACTTCCATCGTCAACTAAGTAAAATACATAGGCCTAAAACCAACAAATAAAAACAGTAGAAATTATCCTGATGAAAATTCAGGTTCTTTCAATCGTATTAATCTCTATACTCCGCCTCCCTTTCTACATGTCTTGACCTATCGCTAGTGAAATGCAATATTGTATCAACTCAGCAGGTTGGTATGCTCAGGCGTGCATGCTCCCTCAATGTTATCAGGACAGAGAAACCACCCACATGCTCATTGCTCACATGGAGCACTCCAAACAAAAGACAATAAAAAATTGACAGGACTCCTAAATTATGTTTATGAAATAAACCAAAACTGTTTTCTCACAAGTGTAGCAGTTTGTGAACTCTGCAAACAACGTTTCCACTCTTAGAATGAGAATGGTAAATGACTGTAATACATGCATTAACAGAAGTTAATGTAACCAAATGACGGGGATTAACGGTACATTTACTAGACCTACTGGTTACATATGTAATGGTGAATTGATAAAAATAATCAAATCAAAGGGCAAACAATTCACACAATGAAACAATGAATGTGCAGGAGACAGCGGAACACATTCTGGAGAGCTGAGTGCGTTTGGAGAGAGACGCCCATATCTTCGCCACAATCCCCTTCTTCTTGTCTCAACATTTTAAATGATACTCAAGAAACATTATCTTCACACATTTTAGATAATTTTCATTGACAGCTGCAACTTAATAATCAGCAAGGCCTATTGCCAAGCAAGCTTCCCAAATTGCTGTCTTCTCAAATAGGCATTGGCCTATGCATTTGTGATTTGAAAACAATCCACAGCTTTAAAAAAAGTATGACATGCCATACTCCTTTTGTCCAGACAGTATCAGATACATGGTCTACACATACGGAGACAGAGGGGCGCTGTTTCGCTCGCTCGGATGCTTTATCTGAGATTGAGTCTTTCTGTCAGTGTGCGTCTCAGTTAAATAAATTATCAATATTTCAGTATTTTATTTGGACGGGCAAGGAGGTACGGTAGGGTGCGCCAGGTCCCCTAAGGCTCGCCCATAACGCCGGCCCTGCAATGTTGTAGTGGTTGATAAACACAAGAGCAAATCAAGTCTGAATTTCTAAATGGAATTAACAAACTTCAGAAGCTTTTTTAAACCTCAAGTTTCAAATGTTCTGCATAGCATGAAAGTTCTCCTGTAACAGGGTGATCAAATTAAGATCCTACATCTGTATATCAAATGCAGGCCTCAAGGGTCAAAACAGTGCCTCAACTCAGCCATAGGCAACCCCAAAAATAGCTTTTTATTTTTTTAAAGGTATCAAAACTGACCATAGAAACAGTACAAGGAGAACAGCTTGTTATTAGTGTACCACTGTGAGGCAGGTCGAGCCACGCTGTGACACCAGAAGGATCTAGCCAGGCAGGTAGCCTATCCTCCTAGACTGATCCCAGATCTGTTTGTGCTCTCTTGCCAACTGCTATGGTCACTGTCATGTAATGTTTGGATCAGATCTGGGACCAGGCAGGTCCTAGACTGATCCCAGATCTGTTTGTGCTTTCTTGCCAACTGCTATGGTCATTGTCATGTAATGTTTGGATCAGATCTGGGACCGGGCAGGTCCTAGACTGATCCCAGACCTGTTTGTGCGGCATGATTATTCTGACCATAGGAGTTGGCTATACAGCACAAACAGATTTGGGACCAGCCAGGCAGGTAGCCTACTAACCTGGGCTACGGTGTGTCAGCCTTCTCCCTATGAAACCAGATGTCAATTAGACTTTAAAGTGTGTCATTTGGAACAGTTGGTTGCTCTGGTTTCAGGTAATCATTACCTAAAGCTGCTTAGTCAATTACCAACACGTCAACATTAGCTAGGACACACCTGCCTTAGTGTGCCAACAGGGTGTGTGTGTGTGTGTGTGTGTGTGTGTGTGTGTGTGTGTGTAGTACATAACTAACCCTGTCCCGTGATACTGCACTTAATAAAACTAAACAATCATCTTTTGACCTATAGACCTGTTTTCGATATATGTCTGAATAACTTGTTGTATCTCTGCATTACCATAATAATGTAGGTTACTATGTACTATGATGATATACTGTAGTAGTAGCAGCTATGATAATTAACCGTGCACAGGAGGCTGCAGAGGGGAGGACGGCTCACGATAATGGCCGAAACGGAGTAAATGGAACCAAACACCAAACCATGCGTTTGATACAATTCCACCTATTCCGTTCCAGCCATTACCACGAGCCCGTCCTCCCCAATTAAGCTGCCACCAACCTCCTGTGCAACAGTGATATAAGCAGTGGCAGGGTTGTAGGCTACTAGTGATAAAGGTACAGTGCTGGTTAGTTTGAAAACAGCACCTGCTGCACTTTGTTCGTTACAACACAGTGTATATTAGAAGTGTTACTGTAGGCCTACAGTACAAGAAAGATATTAGAGGCACTTTTGTTGGGAGACTTGAGGGACAGACATTCTTTGAGAGACGAGGTGTTTCTTAATCAGTTAGCCAGCCAGACGCTGAATGTCATTTAAGATGAGGTTGGCAGGCAGCCATATCGCCGTTAGTTTGTCCTCTACGGAGATATGAGCGAGGGAGGGAGAGAGAGAGAGGGAGAGAAGAGAGAGAGAAAGAGGAGAGCTAAGGGGAAAGAGATTTAGAAAGGGAGAAATGGAGAGGATATCTGTATCCATCCTGAGAACACACATTCGCTCGCTCTTTCATCTAATTTCTCACGTGAAATCATCTGTCTGTCCCCTCATCTCATTAAACCCTGTTTCAATATGTTCGTCACGCTCTTAGATAGTGATTTGACTGAAAAAAGAGGACGACTACCATGTACTGAATGAGTGGGCGAAGTGACAAAGGGTTGATGTGGCTGTCAACAATAATGGTAAAAAGAGTAAGAGCGGTCATTGATTAAAATACCTGTTGTTATGACTGCTTATGACACCTTATGTCATGGTTAGAACTGTAAGCTGTATGATAGGTGCCCTTATGTTCAAATCAAATCAAATGTTCTCAGTAAGGTCAAGTTCAGGTCAAACTGCCATCTGCTTGTACAATACATTTGTCTTGTGTTATGTAGGCTAGTTGCTTACACCTCTCATCAATACTTCCCTTTGGCTTCCTCTCTCTACTCTCGCCCCTCCAGTTCCCAAAGAGGGTCTGAAGAACCAGGCAGCGTTTGAGGAGATGAGGGTGAACTACATCAAGGAGCTGAGGAGGTCTGTGGGCAAGGCCACCAACAACTCTGGACAGACGTGGCAGCGCTTCTTCCAGCTCACCAAGCTACTGGACGCCATGCATGATGTAAGCAATGGACCCACATCACTGTAGAACTGTATCCATAACGACACGCACTGTACCCAGCACAACATCACAATGCCAAGTCCCGTCAACAAGCCTTCTCTATGCTATGCATGCACAAGGCAAGTTCAATGATTGGAGTTTAACAATGTTAGTAAGGGAATATCTCTGAAATAACAAAAGATTATTGCATTCCAATGACTAGCCCTAAGGGGTGTTTATTTTGGAATGGGCAGAGATTGCCCTGTATTGGTGAATGAATGGAACATGGAGGAATCAATGTTCAGGCTCACAGTGGTGGCCTGGTGGGTCAATACAACTGTCCCCCTAACTAAATGCACTGAACGCACTGACTGTAGGGGTTATGCAAGGACAACTTAGCATGTGGTGAAACATTAGGAGCTGGAAGCAGTATGAAAAAATACTCACATCTCACAAATGGAAAAAGTCCCTGATAAAAAATGTACAAGACTAGACACCAGAGGACAGCATTGATTGATTGAGTGAAGTGATTGAGTAGGCTACTAAATGCAGATGATCCTATGACTCAGGGGTTCCCAAACTTTTTCGGCCGCGACCCCATTTTGCAATAAAAAAAAAAAGAAGTGATCCAACCATGTAAAAAAAGTTACGTTTACTTTTATCATTGGGGCTATAACAGTCTATTACAAATCAGTCTGTCAAACCATACTTTTGAAGGAAGTATGGTTTAAAGTGATTGAAATGCATCAGAAAGATATTGGGAAGTTCAGAAGATCATCAGGCATCTTCATCTTCAATGTAGAAAAGAACATAGTCATTGATGATGTTCTTTTTCCCCCAGTCTGATTTAGTGCCTGGTAGCTTAAACCGTTCAAAAGATAGACGTATTTGTAGGAAGAAAACAGAAACTGCTCTGTTTATTACAACCACATCTAGCAGCTACCGGAGATTACTGACGTAACCCTGGTTCTATGAACCAAGTTCCACATTTTTTTTTTTTTTTTTTAAATCAGAGTTTCTCTCGCGACCCCATTTTCAAATCAGGCAACCCCTAGTTTGGGAAACGATGCCCTATGTAGAAGAGGAGGTATAGTCTATTTAGAATCATTAGCACCACCTAGTGGTAAGTCAGACTAATTTGAGTCGTGACCCCCAACAAATGACAAACAATTACAGTCATATCAATGCCATGACAAAGTTAACCTAAGGATCTGGCTACGGTATGTGGTATCACTCTGAATAAAGGTACAGTAAGGTAACTGAACACACACACAGTCAGAAAAGGGGAATGCCAATTCAAGGTTTCCCAGGGCACAAAGTTAACCCTAACTTCCAAGAATTAGGCTTTGATTGTACTTTATACAACGGGTGACAGTCAATCATTATTTGAATTGGTTGGTAACCCGTTAATAATTAATAATTAAGTGATAATGCCCGAGAAGCCAGTGTTTGTTGGATATATTGGCACGGGTGTTGTTAGGCCCGAGACTAAGTCAAGAGCCGACAAACTGTGCCAATATATCCAACAAACACTGGCTTCGAGGTGTGATTGAAATGAGGGTCTAATCCTGAATGCTGATTGGTTAAAACCGCATTCCAGCCGGTGTCTATTCCACAAGTTACCACCAGCTAAATCTATGACGTTAAAATGCCTATTTATACTGTTCCATCTGACTACGCAATCCACTGTCTCATCAACCCAGTCAGGCACTTTATAAACTTGATCTCCACTATAAAAAGCATCTACACATTATCTCACATTTCTTTTAGACTAACATTTCGTTTTTTCAACAGCAGAGATTTGTATAAACCTTGCTGTCTGTCTCTCTGACATTTGCAACATTGTTTCAATATCTCTTGCTGTCCCATAGTATTGAATTTGTCGGGAGTCGGGATGAGACAGAAAGGCAGGCAGAGTTTCTCAGCCGGTCGAAATCATGAATCAACTGGCATAATTTTTATGGATATATACCAAAAAAATGTCAATTGAAAAAAAGTTTAAACAAAACGCAGCTAATTTGTGGTCTTTCCAGCTTCAGTTTGAAGTGATTGTGTTACTGTAGCTGTGTTGTTGGCTAGCTCCTCTGTCTGAACAACAGTGTCCTGACGAGTGAGCACATTCTCTATGTCAGGCGAAATCGCGCCCCATTAGCTCATTGTTATGGATGTATCCAAATAAATGCCACTAGAAAACAGCTTAAGCAAATGCAGCTACTTTTTGACGTGACTGTAAATTCACCGTAGTTGGCTAGCTAGCAAGCAAGGGATAAGAACGTTGCCAGCCAGTATGGCAATGGAACATTTAGAACGAACGAACGAAGTATGAATAAATAATCAAAATAACGTTTTAATTAAAATATGTCAATCATTATTTGAATATGTTGGTAACCCCTTGTATAAAAGTGATAATGCCCTCGAAGCCAGTGTTTGTTGGAAATATTGGCACGGTTTGTCGAAGTTAATGTAACAACACCTGTGCCAATATATCCAACAAACACCGGCTTCTCGGGCACTATCACCTAAGTGTATTATTCACACTTCATGACAAGCCAATGAAATCTCTATACAAACACAGCTGGATTCTTTCAAACTACAACTCTCTCCCTCCCGCTCTCTCCCCAATATAACTCTACTCCTTCATCTCCTCTCAATGTGTATTTATTCCTTGTGTTATTTTTTCTACATTTATCTTTCTGCATTGTTGGGAAGGTTCATAAGTAAGCATTTCACTGTTAGTCTATACCTGTTGTTTACGAAGCATGTGACAAATAACATGGTATTGATTGATCCCTCCCTCTCCTCTAGCTGGTGGGGAACCTGCTAGACTTCTGTTTCTACACGTTCCGTGAGTCTCAGGCTCTGAAGGTGGAGTTTCCAGAGATGCTGGTGGAGATAATCAGTGACCAGATACCAAAGGTGGAGTCGGGCAACACACACACCCTCTACTTCCACAAGAAGTGACTGTACTGAGCCCTTGAGAGAAAGAGAGAGAACGAAATAGCGAGAGGGGGAGGAGTGGGAGAGGAGGAAGGAAGGACCCTAGCCTTAGGAGTGGCCTAACTACTATGCCAGGCAGTCGGTCTGCTGCCCCCTCCACTTTCTGAAATGGGACAGGAAGTGGACAGGAAGTGACACGTGAGGGGCAGGAAGTGAGATTGAGGAAGTAGGAAGTTGAGTCCACTAAACTGCAGTCTCCGTCCGCTGGTTAGAGAGGTGACGCTGAGTGAGTGACATCTCGGCGCCAAGGAAAACGCACTGAGGAGGACTTTTCAAAATGTGACAAAGAAGCATCCCGACCCTTAGGCCCCCCCCCCAAAGACGATGATGATGACAATGTTTTTCTATGGATACGAAGCCATACATTTTTTTGGTTGCGCTACAGTCCATACGTTCACACACACATGCGTACAGTAATGCAGCACGCACACAGATAGACAGTAACAAACGCCATCTTAGCCTCCTGAAAAATGTCAAATGATAACTGTGCTTTTGCATTGATTCATGGATACTAGTACTACTACTCTGACAATATGGAAAACAATTCTTAGATGTTGCTATGCAGTGTACTGTCATTAGGTTACATGGCAACATATACTTTTTCCATGACAAAGACTAAATCTAGGGTTTCTGTGAGAGGATCAAGGTCTATTTGAACATGCTCCAAGGGCTATACATGCTTAACAAACTGAATAGTTGCATAAAAAGCTAACAAATTCTACTTTGGTTCTGTAGTGGTGTGTATTACAACACCCAAATGCCCACATTACTCAAATTGTTATAACGTTGTATAACGATCAAAAACTTAACTCTTAATAATATGCAAAAACTTCAGAATGAAGAATTTTCAAAGTATGGTGTTTTGTGTGATCCAGTGTGAAGAAAGTTGAGTAACAGTTAAAAGTAAATCTCCCATGTCATATGTGAAGGCTTTCTGATATGTAGATGATTAACAATGCAACATTTGTCAATAGATGAACTCCATCCAAAATAGGTGCGGGAGTATGGAAAAACCTGATGGATTCACAATATGTCTTTCCCTCGCATCGTAATGCATTTGACGGTGGTACACCCAGTTAGATATCCAGGGGTTCTCAAACTTTTTGGGGCCGGGGACCTCTTTTTTGATAGCAAATTCATCAGGAACCCCTTCATAATCAGAACACAACTCAAGTGAGTTAAAAATAGCATACAAGGAGTTTGACTATGACTTTGGCAGTGCACGGCTGGACGAACCAAGTCTTGGGCCTTGGGAAGGACCATTTTAAAGGCCCTTGGCATCGGAGAGAAAATGTTGCCATTTTAAAGATAATTTCCTGCAATTCTACACATTTTGTCATGGGGACGATTTTTGTTGTTGTTGCAGTTTTAAAGCTAATATCCTGAATTCTACACATTTTGGTATGAGCCAGAGAGAAAAACTGGCAGTTTTAAAGCTTGAATTACAGTGCATATAAATTTTTTTTTGGGGAATACAAGAAGAATTAAAGTTGGAAAATGTATAATTGGTGGAGTACTGTGGATACCAATATCCCTGTGAGCCTCCCAGGCCCATGTTGCCCAGGGTTAAGAACATCAATTGTACAGTAGATGAATAATATTGTATTGTATTACACCCTTTAAATAGTATTATTCCACAGATCCATTGGCCCAAATTTGTTTAATCTGTTGTTAGTAATAATAAAAAGACATATATATATATATATTTTGAGATCTGGCCGCAGACCCCCTGCAATGGACCCCACTTTGAGAACCCCTGAGTTATACAGTATAATTGCCATTGGTTGTGAAAACATCAGAGCACCCATTTCCTGGTCTATTTCTACCTACTCACAGTGCATCCAAACCAGCGTCCTTTGCCAAGTCAACCGACACTTATCTACCGTTTCCAGAAATAATAATAAAGCATTTTGTAAGAGTGTTGTTGCAAAGGTTTTCGTTTTTTTTTTAAAGCCAGACATTTTACACCTAAGGTGCTTCTTTTTGTAAACGCAAAGCAGATGAATAACACTTTTCTGGTAACTAACACATGTACAATTATCAGCATTAGATACAGGGTTGGGTAGGTTACTTTCTAAATGTAATCTGTTAGTTACTAGTTACCTGTTCAAAATGTTCATCATTAATGTAATTTTGGGATTACCCAAACTCAGTAATGTAATCTGATTACTTTCATGTACTTTTTGATTACTTTCCCCTTAAGAGACATTAGAAAACAACAAAAATAATCCATCAAACGCATTTGGTGTGTCATCAGTGGTTTCCGACTTGTGGTCAGACCCGCTCAGGTGGAACAAACGTAAACTTGCGCCTTTCTCATTGAGAAAACAGAAAGGTGTTGTAATGTATTTTTTTCACAAACATCCTTTCTGAATTCCAATAAGTAATCATCTAGTTTTTCAAAGGTAAGCATCTGTAATCCGATCACAATATTTGTGCTGGTAAAGTAACTGATTACAGTTGCAGTTATTTAGTAATCAGATTACATGTAACTCCCCAACCATGATTAGATACAATAACAACCTTCAAACATACTGTATGATGTTGATATTGGAACTGGACGTTGGAAAATGCCATTACTCTATAGTCACAGTGCTTTCAGTAAATGCATAATGTATTCAAACTTACCCGGCAAGCGGAAAATACATACAGTAAATGTAATGGTACTTGCTTAGGTTACAGTCACATTTTTCCCACTGTTGTACAGAAACTGTTTTGGAAGTACATGTTGATACTGCTGATAAATGACTGACTCATTGCATTGGCCACCTGTCCTGATTTTGTGTTGTCCATCTTGTCTTTGGGCCAACTCTAGACGTATGGCCAGTCATCTGGACCATTCTTATCAGACCTGGGTTCAAACATGATTTGAAACCTTTCAAACTACTTTGCTTTAGCCTGCCTGGACTGTCCGGTGGGTGGGGTTTGTACTTTTTGGGACTTTTCTATTGGTTCCATTGCAAAACTGAAGCTCAATTAAGCACAGCTAAAGAATTTGAAACAATTTCAAATAGTCCTTGAACCCAGGTCTGATTCTTACTAGTTTCACACCAGATTGACTGAATGCTTAACCATTGTGGAACACTATGATGCTACTGAATAGCGTGAGAGATAGTGAGAGAGTGTCGTTCGAGAAGAAAAACAGAGGGGGCGTTTGGTTCGATCGTTCTGCCTCATTTGTGAGTGTGTGTGGTTGTTTTTTTCCTGGCAAGCACGATCAAAGTTGATCCGCTTTTTTCGAGGGCATTGTTAGTTTTCCTACGTTCTATAGGATTATGCAGCATATCCTATTTGCCTGAATTAGATTTGTACAGAAGAGATAATGTGACAATTGAGGCATTAACCCAGCTAGAATGTTGTATGTCTGGTTGATAATAACTAAATGTGAATATATATGGAGGGACCCTGCATGAATAAGGCCTACAGGTTAAAGGGATAGTTCACTTCAAAATGTGAACTATCGCTTTAAGGTGCTGTTGTGTTTCACTATGGGTTCTACTTTGTTGAGTTGGACGTATAGAACAGACAATGGCAGGAGGATCACGATGAAAGAAAAACAGTCCCTATGCTTAAACGGTCTCATTTTGCAGTCTCTCCCTCCTTGTCCCTTTTGTACATTGCTGTGTTGAAGTTGTGAACTGAAGGACCCTAAAGACACGCTGTAAAGAACTGCTATTCTTTCTATACCTGTTTTGCTGCCCTTTAACCCCGCCTTTATTTTATTTTAAATAAGTGTCAAAAAAAGGTTCATAGGCCGAATGGGAAAAGTATTTTTGAAAGAATTATATTTTGCTGGAAACAATATTTAAGTACTTTGTCTATCTAAAAATAAAAAACAGATTTTTTTTGTAAAGTGAAATGTTTATGCATGCTTTTTTGATGAGATGTTTACATTGTATTTAAGAAGGGAAAATTGTGCCTTTTTATCTCACCTGATTTAACATTTTACAGTATATATTGTAAATAATACAGAAAGTCATTATGTTTGAGTAGCGTAAAAAACATTGATACTTTAAAGGAATAATCCGGTCAAAAACTATATTTTGGTATTTGTTTAATTAGTCCAGTTAATCGTAAATAAAACACACAAAAAACACTTTTACCAGTCAAGTTTTCAATGCCGCATTCAAATCAACTGGGAACTCTGAAATCTCAGACTTCAGTGCGTTCAAGACAACTGGGAACTCAGAGGGGGACTAGCTCAGACTGTGTGAAAAATAGTTTTGAACGGTCTTTCAACTCGGAATTCCAAGTCGGAAACTCTGGCATCTTTCTAGAGCTCCGACTTTCTAACTTGAAGATCACTGACATCATGATTTGACCTAGTTTTTTTCCTGAGTTCCCAGTTGTCTTGAAAGCACAAAAAGTGTAACTTGCCACATCATAATGATGCGTTTTGAATCATCATAATGATGTGTCATGTTACACTTTGCTTATTGAAAAATGTATATCTTGAAAACTTGACTGCTGACATGCAAAACATTGAGACTGTATCAACAGTGGACTAATGAAAATGGTTTAATATATATCGTTTTTGAGTGGATTATTCCTTTGTTGGAATATCTGCAGTTAATGTGGCTCCCACTAGTTATATTGTCGTTTTGGATCATAGAAAAAAACAGCACAAGGATGACATAAAAAAAAGCTAGCCTGGTCCCAGATCTGTTTGCGCGGTATTGTCAACTCCTGCCAGTCATTGTGATGCCAAACATGATAATGATTGGCAGTAGTTGACAAGACAGCACAAACAGATCTGGGACCAGGCTACAAAAAAGCCACGGGTTAGAGTGAGTTATGAAAGTACCAAACATTGTGACATACATTTTACTACCTGAATGTTAGAGAAAGAACAGAAATGTCATCTTTTTTTTTCTTCTTCCTGAAAACATCATGTTAACTGTTTATCTGATTATGAATTGTTTTGTACGATTATTTTCCATTTTATTTCAATGTGACTAAGA